CCGCACCCTCACTTCTCTCCTCAGGCTGGACTCCACTGTGTAGTTCAAGTTTGTCAGAGTGAACTGTACCCCCCCAAATATATGTGCACTTGGTTGGACCAGGATTCTCAGTATTTTGTATGAGCCTCTGTTTTGTAATTGGATGTAATTATGCCGTGTGTTAAAAATCCTTACCTCTATGATAATGCAGAGCTCTGGTGGTGCAGTGGTTAAAGCACTTGGCTGCTAACCAAAAGTTTGGTGGTTTGAACCCATCAGCCACTGTGCGGGAGAAAGATGGGGCAGTCTGCTTCCATAAAGATTTGCAGCCTTGGAAACCCAATGGGGGATCTGGGGTAGTCGGAACCAACTGGATGGCAGTGAGTTTTTGAGCTGGCGTTAATGAGGCAGGATTAGAGGCAGTGGTGTTAATGAGGCGTGTATGATCTACAGGTTTAGGCCGTATCTTGAGTCGGTCTCTTCTGAGATATAAAAGAGATGAAATAAGCGAGCAGAGATCAGAGGGACCTCGTACCGCCAAGACAGAAGAGCTGGGGGCAGAGGGCATCCTTTGGACCCAGGGTCTCTGTGCTGAGAAACTCCTGGAGCCAGGGAAAGGTGATGCCAATGACCTTCCTCAGAGCCATCAGACAGAGGGAAAGCTTCCCTCTGGAGCCGGCGCACTGAACTCAGACTTCTGCCCTCCTAAACTGTGAGAGAGTAAGTGTGTCTGTTGAAGGCCCCAATGGGTGGTATTTCTGTCACAGCAGCAATAGAGAACTGAGACAAAGGAGGATCCGAGATGGTGGAAGTGGTGGTGAGGCGAGGGAAGGCAAGAGGAGACAAGCGAAAAAAACACAACCACAGTGTGGTAGCTCAGGTTGTGGGTCAACTCGGCTGGTCCTGGTTGAGTGGCTGGGCAGCTGGTGGTAGTTATTCCCCATGATGAGACTGGTAATCAGCTCCATGGTGGGATCTACCACAAACAGCAGAGTAGCTGCCTTTGGGATGTGGTCTGCTTCCTGTATATAAGGAGAAGCCTTGGGAACGGTCTCTAGCCTGTGGCACGCTTGGACCCTGCATGGAGCCGTGTCATTGCTCAGCAGCCTGCCATGCTCTGCCGACCTTGGGACTGACAATGGACTTAAGTTAATGGCCTGCCGTGTGGTTTGGTGACATTGGGACTGTGCCTTTTGACTTGTCAGCCTTGGAGCTTGTCAGCCTCAGCAGCCAGCAGCCGTCTGAGTGAAGAAACGCCTCTAGCTCCAGTGGGCCGGGAGCAGGGGGCAGAGCTGGACCCCAAGGTTGAGGGGCTTTCACCCAGCCCCTAGAGCCTGAAATTTTGAACTCGGGCTTAAAGCCTCCAAATTGTGAGAATAAACTCCTGTTTGTTAAGGCATCCCATTGGTGGTGTATTCCTGTCAGAGAGGCACCGGGGACCAGAACACGCAGTCCCTCCACTCCTCCCCTTTTGGGGCGGGAAATTCCGTGGTCCTGGCTGTACCTCCAGACCATCTGCTATTGCTCCTTTCCCTGCTGGGACCGTGTCTGTGAGGGCTCCGTGCTGGGTCACGATCCCTGATCACAGCGAGAAATGCAGCTCTGACTCCCAGCTGCCTCCTTCGAGTGCAGAGAGGTCTCCTGGGTGAGTCGGAGAATGTGGCCCACAGGGCATTCGATGCCGGATGCTTTAGTAGCCAATGGCCAAGGTCTTTCTCCTGCAGAACGTCTGGGTGTGTCTGAGCTACTAGCCTTCCAGTTCACAGCTGGGTGCTTAGAAGTTGTGCCACTAACGCTCCTTGAATGACACAATAAGGAGAATGTAAAAAAGAAAGAAGACGTGGGGTCACAGAATTTCACAGTGTTAAAGATGTTGAGGACTTGAACCAATCAGTTGCCATGGTGTCGAGTGACTCCACGGGGTTTCCGACGGCGGACATGGAGTCGACTGATTCATGGCGACCCCATGGGGATCAGAGTAGAATTATGCTCCACGGGGTTTCCGATGGCAAACGTTTTGGAAGCAGATTGCCAGGCTTTCCCACCAAGGTACTTCAGCTGAGTGAGTTCACTATGGGAATCACCAGGGGCTCTAATCTTCCAGATCCTTCTTTTGAAACTGCCACTTGTCTGTGGGTACTGACTGCCGTCTCTGTGCTGGTCACGCTCTACTCCACCCCCCACCAACCTGCTCACTTCCCACCAGGCTGGGGTTCAGTCCCTTCCGTTACTGGTGACCATGGTCTTCCCCCAACAGACGCTGCACCTCGAGAGCAGGAATCCAATCGAGTTCACTTCAGAGTCTTCCCGACGGACGGACACCCCGCTGAACTGTGTAGGGTGAGCAGCTGACACCTGTACGTAATTGTTGTTGTTGTTGTTGCGGGTGTATTCAAGCCAATTGCAACTCATGGCGACCCTGCGTGACGGAGCAGAACCGCCCCAAGCCGATCACAGGTCTTTCTATTGAAGCCCCACTAGGTGGGTTCAAACGACTGACCTTTCAGTTAGCAGCCGAGTGCTTAACCATTGTGTCATCAGGGCTCCTTGAGGACGTTGTTGTTGTTAGGGGCCATCGAGTCAGCTCCGACTCACAATGACCCCGTGTACAACAGAACAAAACACTGCCCGGTCCTGGTCCAGCCCCACGATCCTTGCTGTATCTGAGCCCATCGTTGTAGCCTCTGTGTCATCCATCTCGTTGAGGGCCTTCCCCTTTTTCACTGACCCTCCACTTTACCAAGCATGACATCCTTCTCCAGGGAATGGCTCCTTCTGACAACATGACCAAAGTCGGTGAGACCAAGTCTGGCCATTCTCGCTTCCAAGGAGCATTCCGGCTGCACTTCTTCCAGGACAGATTTGTTAGTTCTTATGGCAGTTCGTGGTACTTCCAGCATTCTTCTCCAAGATCACAACTCTAAAGTATCAACTCTTCTTTGGTCTTACTTATTCATGGATCATGGATAAGAGGCAATTGAACATACCGTGGCTCGGGTCAGGCGCACCTGAGTCTTCAAGGAGACGTCTTTGCTCTTCAACACTGATTGCCTGACTGCTGCTTCCATTGGTGTTAATTGTAGAACCAAGTAATATGACGTCTTTGACAACTTCTGTCTTTTCTCTGTTTACCATGTTTATCGTGATGTTGCTTATTGGTCCAGTTGTGAAGATTTTACTTTGCTTTACGTTGAGGTGTGATCCATACTACAGACTGTAATCTTTGATCTTCATCAGTAAGTGTTTCAAGTCATCTTCACTTTCAGCAAGCAAAGTTGTGTCGTCTGCATATCACAGGTTGTTAATGAGTCTTCCTCCAACCCTGATGCCATGTTCTTCTTTTTATAGTCCAGCTTCTTGGATTATTTGCTCAGCAAAGAGACTGAACAAGTATGGTGAACAGATACAACCCTGACACACCCCCTCCCTGATTTTAAACCAATGTCCCCTTGTTCTGTTCGAACAACAGCCTCTTGGTCTATGCACAGGTTCCTCATGAGCACAATCAAGGGTTCTGGAATTCCCATTCTTTGCAATCTTATCCATAATTCATTATGATGCGCACAATTGAAAGCTTTTGTGTAGTCAACGAAACACAAGTCAACGTCTTTCTCATACTCTCTGCCTTCAGCCAAGATCCATCTGGCATCAGCAATGATATCCCTTGTTCCATGTCCTTATGGATATTAGTGGCTTAATATGATTCCAGTGATATTTTGTGAATTCAAAGGGAAATAAATAAAGGAGGGACAGAGACGACTAACACCAAGATTATAAAGTCTGGTGAGCTTGCGTGTTGTTAGGGAGGGAGTGAAATGTCAGTATCAACGGGGCAGAGGTTTTGCGTGAGAGCTCTCTTTGGGCGCAGGATTATTTTAGCAAAACGAAACTAACTGACTCACGGCGACCCCGTGTGTGTCTGAGGAGAATGGTGCTCCACAGGTTCTCAGAGCCTGGTTGTTCGGAAGGAGATGGCCTGGCCTTTCCTTGAGGCACTTCTGGGGGGACACAAACCAGTCTTTCACTGAGCAGCTGAGCCACTCATTGACTGCTTGCCACACCCCAAATCCAAAAGCCAAACAAGTTAACGTCAGGTTGACTATTCCATCACCAGGGCTCCTAGGCATCACACTAAACCAAACCACAGCCACTGCCGTGGAGTCCTTTCTGACCCACAGCGCCCCTAGAGGACAGAGTGGAACTGCCCCACAGGGTCTCCCAGGCTGTCAGTCTTCACAGAAGCAAAGCCCAAACCACACCCACTGCCGTG